ACTTTGCTTATGATCTCCTTTATAGAAAAGTTAATCATTATTAACTTATGAAATATACACGCTTTCGTTATGCTTTCACGCTTCAGCACACCATCCAGAAATAAAAGAAGTAGCGTATGTTTCAGTCTGTTTTTCAAAAAAGATCTTCGGAACATACCTTTTAGAATGAATGTACCGCTTACGCGAAAAAATTTTTACGTTCTAAATAAATACCATACGATACGTTGGAATATTTTGCCCGATTCTACAGCCCATGCTCAGAGCGAGTAAGCCTGCAACAAAACTACTGCTGCGGTAACATCGCTTGAACTTTATTTTTAACAAATTCATCGTTTACTCTTATGCTTGATGTAGGTTATGTCGCTGGTTGTAAATTAGAGAGGCTAATCTTGCCATAAAAATGAGTAGTTTTGGTTACCTAGTTGTTATTTTACGCCCGTCATCGCCCGCATTTGCGTTTTCCAGTCACTCCTCTTCAGTTAGCATAATTAAAAAATAAAAAAATAAAAATAAATAAATAAACATAAAATAAAATAAAATAAAATAAAATAATTGATGAATTTTGTCATTTTTTTTTGCCCAAGTATTTTAACTTTTGTTTGGGTCGCTTTTTCCACATAAGAAATGAATTATTTAGTATCTTCATGTCTATGCCAAGAAAACCATTTTTGTAGACTAGATGGTGGTGAGGGCCAAGATGGAAGATAGCAGTAAAAGTCATACTGTACATCTAAGATTCTTAATAAGCCGTACACATTATCCTTACCTTAAGAAGAAAAGGGACAAAAAGTAAGAATTGAGGCCTATTCCCAACGCTTTCGCAGTTTTTGCATTCTATAACTTAGAGATAGCAGTTTTCGAGGATTTCTGGTTATTTGAAATTTCCCTAGAATTTTTGTTGATACAACGCAAAACATGGAGCAAAAAAACTTATTACTGCCTTTTTCCTCCATCTTCAAATCAACTTACTTTTATACAGTATATGTTTTAATTGTATTTTTTGGCATTCGTTTTAGGCGATGTACTGATAAAATAAAGAAATAAATAAATAGATTTTGAGACGTTATAATTTACGCAACGCATACGGCTGCTCCAAGCTGTCTCAACTTGGTCACATCGAAGATAGAAGTTATTTGAGGAAACTAATTCATTTCTTCAAACTTTTTGCTCGCTTTACTACGTGAGTAAAGAATTTTTGTGTCCTTCTTGGCACTGATTCAATTTTTGCCATCAAATTACAGTACCAGCCCTTTCTAAATCACCTGCGACGCCGTCGCCGGTGAGTGGCGACAGCGGGGGGTGCGAGAACCTCTCGTGTTCAATCAGGTGGAAACCTGCCAGTCCACGTTTGTCGTCTCGACTCCTGTTATCTGATTCAACAATTATCATTTATGGCGCATGCGGACCGCCGACCCGTACCCAATTACGGTCCATTCGCATCCTTTTAGACGGGCGACGGGGGTGTGAACATACGGTACTTTGGCGCACTAATGAGTTCTTTGTCTATGTGAGAGGAAAATTATGATTCAAATGCTGCAATCTGTGTGTGACCGAATGCGTTCAAGCTGCATCACAACTAGGTTACCCAAAAAATGATTTTTGACTGACTACGAAAATCTACGACCATCAAATATCTGTTATCTAGAAAGGCGTCAGGGTGACAAACACTTTCAAACCTATTGTCAAATATTAGTTAGACGAAGTAACTAATGCTGACTGATATTGTATTAATTATCCATAAAGTAATATTGGTCCTGATAAGTCTATCTGATTTACCGAAGGATTTGTATAATTTCGAAATCTAGACTTTTCAGCAGAAATACCACAGGGTAGATCAAGCACATAAATGTTTTTCGAGAGGTAGAGTGAAAGAAACTCCCTCTAAGAGATTGTAGTTGTTGAACAAATATAAGTAGCGTTAGCCATTTCGTAAATCATCTCATTGAAATCCTCAAATTTTTGATTACTGCACAGCTCTGAAATTTTGAGGAAGTCGCCGATGACAAGTAACCATATTAAACAAGAAAGTGATGATGACGCGAAATTATTAACTGATTCAGATGACTAGTCTAGCATACCTTTATAAAACATGTAGAAGTAAATAGTGCAGACGCCGAGATTTTTTCAAGTGAGGACTCGACAGAAATTTTCTCTCAGAATTATGGTACCATGGGGTCATCAACTCCGTCCCCGTTTCTTGGAAAACAGTTTTTCTTTGGTACTTTGACAATCTTGCCATTTCTTAGAAAGATCATGGATGGGACTCGGGCAACAACTTTACAAAGCCAACTTGGGTTTATAAACATGTTGATGTTTTTAAGTGTTTAAATACATAGGAACAAACAGCATTATTACTTCGTAACTCATGTAGACCGCAGAAAAATTTTGAGATCCAATCTCGAAAAGGAGCTAGGGAGTCATAAGGGGTTCGAAAGTTTGCAACTGATTATTCCATCAAAAACAATCGTTTTATGCGCATTTGAGTGGAGCAAGAATTTAAAAAAATACATTTTTTGCATGTTAGATAGGTGGATGAATAAGCTTACACTGGCAGCTCCAACAATAAAAAAAACGGTCTACCCAGATAAGTTGAATTACCACACTTGTTTTTGATGTTAGCACGATTGATCACAAGAGTAGCTCCCTCGAGAAATCAGAAAATTTGAAGCTTCTATTGAAAGGCTGTCATGAAGCAAATTTTCTAAATCTGATTCCATCTTTTTTTAATTGATTTAATTAGCAACGGGGCTCTCTTTATCCTCCTTACTGTACTTGTCTCAGCATATTGCTATGACTTAGGGATTGACTTCTTGATATTTGGTTGTGAATTGCTTTCCAGTGACTAAAAGAAAAGTATTATAGCTTCCCAAACACAAATGGCAGGTGCAAATTTTTCTGACCGTTTTTTTGTTATACTTCATTTTTCAAATTGTAAGTGGAGCTAAGGCTAACGTCCCAAGTAGAAATGGCAGGTGCGAGGTTTTGTGGCCCCAGAGCCGTGCAAAAAAGGTGACATGAAGTGAAGTAGGCTTGGGGCTTCAGCCATGTCCGTCAGATGCGCAGCGGCGGTGTCGTCTGTCGGTGCGCGGACGTGGACGAATTGCGTGTGACACGGGAGTGATTGGCAACGACACGCACAGACGGATGAACGCAGCTAGCGAACCTGACACTCTGCCGACTCGGATAAGACATCACCCGGCCGCACCCCCCGCACTGCACATGCGAATATGCGCACCCCCCGACCCCCGCCCCGCCCCGCCGAACACTTGTTACCCCCCGTCTGTCTGCAACACACTGGCCGCTTTTTTGATTACTTAGTTGTTTTGGTGATGAGATGTCCCACCGCAAAAAATGTCTTTTATAGATCACAGATATCATTAATATTAGTAATATCAATATTGATATCAATGTCTTTTATAGATTTATAGAACGGCTGTCCGTAAATGTCAAACGTGTACTTATCTCCCTTTTGTGGAATAGGTGAACATCCATTTTGAGGCTGAGGGACTAGACACTGCTTTGTGCGTTTGAACCCCGCAAATCAAGACTTGTGCACCACTTGATTCTCAATCTGTCATCAAAGTAAACGAAAGGAGGGAACATTTTTGAGCGTGTGCAAAGCGTGCAAAGCGTCTTCACTTTCCTATAAAATATCTTTTGGATAATATAAATAATGTGATAATATCTTTTGGATCTCAAAGGGGCTAGTGTAAGCAGTAGATATTATATCTTATAGTGTGCATTTTAGCTCCGAGCTGACCTTCTCCTCAATTCACTAAATACTTTTCTTTAACTCTTTCATATATACCCCACCGTAAACAAAGCGAATTTCTTTAACTTTCACTTAATGTTCAGTCAGCATTTTTACCGAAATGTCACCTCTAACGAATTCTTTTTATCCAAACACAAAGGTGCTCCATCACTCACTTACTTCTCAACTTCTGCATACAAGCTTTCAAACTCCTAATGCAATAAACCTCAAACACTTGGCCTATTCCCCTATCTAGTCTATTTTCACTGTAAAGCTCAAATCACTGTTGAAGTTCTTTTCACTTCCCGACTCTTTATGCTCTGATTTTTATCCATTGTAAAAATAGGCAGAAGTGTATTATACTACTGTATTAAGAATCTGTTTAATTATTATCAGTTAGACGTAATGTAAAGCGAAACATTGCAGTGATTTGAAACTGACAGAAATACTTTCCCCAAGAATGATAAGTAGGATTACATGATATGGCATCACATAATTCGAGTAGGCCGTCATTTCAAAGACCATTACCAGCACCATTCGAAGACTCCCTCAGATTCGCCTATCTAATCGAAGATAATTTCTATGATGAGCTAGTAACGCTTTCAGTCCTTATTCCAAATGCGACTTACAAAGTTAGGAAATTAAAAAAAGCCAGCACTTGCTCCGAAATTTTTGTAAACCGAATCTACAAAGCATAGATGGCAAGGAACTACAACAATATGCTGGTGACATCCTCAGGTTCTGCAAGTGGTTTTAAAAAGTATTCAACATCTTTGGAGCTCTACTTTCGCACATTAGAGAAGAGCCCGTTCTGCAACGACTGCTTTAAAATTTTTGCTCATCTCTGTCACCTTTCTCCCTTTCTTTTCTTTGAGTACTAGTAGTAAAGCTCTGAGGGGGAGATTTGGCGTGGTTGGTTTATCAGGCGTCTTTGTGTGGAGCACTGAGTGACACATCATTTGCAAGCGAATCGGCTGTCATTTACACGTATGTATCGTAGCTCCTTAGTCAATCATCTGTCATGAACTCTGCGCCTGCCTTTCACTCGAGTTCGGTTAGATAGGGGGTAAGGGAGGGAACGGGATGGGCGGGCGCTGGACTCCGCCCGCTCCACGCCCTCTCTCACCTCCAGGAAACACGTTGACAAGGCGGTCGACGTCGGCTGAAGATGTTCTCATTTGATCTCCGCATTTTGCAACAAAGTAGCGCATAAACAAGAACGTGTTTCCTATAGCCCCACCCCTTCCAGGCTTGGAAAAGCACTTTCGAACAGTCAGCGGATCGTCGTCGATTGGCAGCTCCTGGGCTCGGCCCGTCATCACAGTATCCTCTTTCATTCACCCGACTGTCAGTCTGGCTTCTGCGGCTTAATGTCGAATTCTGTCACGAGGCGGTGACGTTGTCTTCACTTCATGTCATTCATCTGTCCCTTTTCGTCCTTTGCTGTTAGTGAGTGATAATAGCCAAGGTGGGAGTTTATTGTTTCCTGCTAACATGCATCAGAATCTTTTGTTATGTGTAAGGAAATCCATTAACTGTTTTTATGACCATTTTGTGCAATGCTTCTTGACCCTTTTTCGTCAGAGACCAGAGACTATTCATGGACTATTCTTTGCAATATAAGTTTTGCAAGCAATGGGCTTATTGGTCCTGCATTGAGCTTAAACTGATCTAGCGTAGATAATCTGGAAGTCATTTGGTTCGCCAAAATTTAGAGTAGGAAATAGACTATGACCCAAAGGTTTTAAACTCTACCAATGTCACTTATGTGCATACAAATTATGAAAAATATGAGAAAAGTTCTCTTTCTCAACAGCGAATAATTTCATTTCATTTCATATAGTCATAAGCATTACACCATGTCTACAAAATCAACTATTGGAAGAACAAATCATCAAGAAACAACAACACGTAGATTGTGGAGATCATATTATTCACCATTTACTTACATGCATGTATGTTAGGAAAAATATGGAAGGAAAATTTCTTTTTTACAAAAACTTGCTTATGTCCAAAGTGGTACAGGGTTGTCTATCTTCAGTTTTTTTCTGGAAAATACGAATTTCAGTGGGCTCTTTGCTTTTTTCTACATTCAAAATCCAAATTTGTCTCTTTTTTCGTCGTTGACCATCCCCATTTTTATTTAGTCAACGATTTTTTCTTGTCGTTATGCTTTGTGAACATCGGAAAAGTTTGATTGTCCGACTCAACTTTATTTCCTCCTCTCTGCAACTTCTTCTGATTTGTATCTTTCCTATGACACACTCCTCCTCTGCTCAGTCAGAAATGTCTGCACTTTTTCCATTCCTTGCATTACTCAAGTGTTTACCGACGTATCGCTGTCAGTGCCAATTTCACAACCATGATAATTGTACTCGATTTATGACAGCTGGCACTCAACGCTTGTAATTACCTTCAATGATAGTCATTAAGCATCATGGATCACTTCACTATTACGTCGTGCTCTCCTCAGGCTAATACTTCACGCCTCATCATGTACTTTCTGATGTAACTTTCACATCAGTTATGTATCCAAGCGCTAATTGATGTTGGGCAGGTGTGCTAGTGGTATATTCTCAGGATTTGGTCAGATCCGCACGCGCCTTATATAGTTGTGAAAATTTTTTTATATCCTTTTCTACTCTACGTAATCCTTGTATATTTGTTCGTTAAAGCTTTAGTTATCTTTTTCTGAACAATGCTTTCCAGATGGACTTCTCGCTTCTTCCTGAAGAGGTACTAGTCAATGTGCTCAAAATGTCATCTCCAACTACAGTAACTATGGCCAAAAGGCTCAACAAGAAGCTCAACCGTATTGTGGAACGAAACCATCTAGGCAAACCGCTCGTCGACGACTTCAAGTGAGCCAGCACCTTAAAAAAATTTCTCTGATGCATTTCGGAAAATTTTGCAGTGTTGAAATGCGCACAATTCTGGGAAGAACTCGTCCTGTCGGCAGATTACAACTAAAAAATACCGGTAAAATGCATAGAAGGATCGTTGTGACGATGAAGCGAAAACAAAAGAGTCGACAAGTGATAGAGGAAGGCGTGGAAGGACCAAGCTGCAGCAATGGTTCCAGTGTCATCATGGAAGAAATGAAGAAGGTACGGTGGCCTCTATTGCGTTTACTGTATCAATGTAACCGTATGTTAAAGCAATTGCCTCTGTTTATGGCTAATAATGGGCAATACGAATAAACTGCGTTTAGGTGCATCTTTACGAAAGACTCTCATTTGATGGAGTTACCGCTGATACAGATTTCTTTAACATGCTCACTGCTAAATGGAATGATCTAAGGTGTGTTGGTGTACTTTGTTTTTTTTTAACTGTGATAAAATTGCGTAGGCTCACAGTCTAGTAGGTGACGCTTGATATCGTTCCTTTGCGCTGACGACAACATTAGTGCGAAAGTAAATGCCTTGCTGGTGAACGCCGACAACCTGCTTGCGACGTGCGCGTAAAAATGGCCATAGAACGCAGACTGCAAATGCTCACGCGCAAATGCTGTCGGCGACGCAAGAACACTATATCGAGCTTACTACGGGCTATAGGTTCTATAGGTCACAGCTAATTTTTAATTGTTTTATGGTATTTTGTTGGGCACAATTTGCCCATATTTTACCTATTGAATTTTGAAGATGTATGTCTTTGAAATTTTTCGACCTCCATAAGGCAATAGTCAAGAATATTATGGAATTTCCCAAAAATGAGCGACGACTGCAACCTTTATGCCCTCAGATATCTTTTGTTTGTCCTTGCTCACAAATGTTTCCACATTTCCACGACACCTCTGCTCATGTTTCCAACTTTTTTTACTTTCAGTCGTGTTCAAAGCTTGTCGTTCACTCTGTGTCATCTGAAATTCTCTGAAGAACAGATGCTATCGCTACTGACACGGACCGCCTGTCGTTCGCTTACGCTCGACTTCTGTCACTTCGAGCAAGACATCATTAGTGACAAGGTAGGTCGTGAACGATAAATGTCAATGAATTATGTGGAGTGGAAAAGAGCTGCGTCAAAAATTTCGAGATGTCTATCGCTCAAGACCGCTGAGCGGAGAGAGTTCTGAAATGAAAACTTTGATGGATAGCGTAGTTGTCGGACGGAGATCTTGTGAAGATCGAAAACCAAGAATAGACTTACAGTAATAAAGTTGAAGATAAAAAAATTTCGCATTTGCTTCTGCTTACAAAGGAAGCTTGTTTAGTCGAAGTGGCATTTCTAACTGAGAATCCTACCACTTTGAAGAGCATTACACGATGGCTTCAAGTCTGCCTTCATTATCTGCCAAGCGCCTTTGGACGCCGAGTTATGACCGTTTTTTGGAACGAAAAATGAAAAAATTTAGGTAAAAGAATTGTTACTTACAATCTTCCCAACGCTCAGACAAAGCAATATTGAGTACCAGCATATTAGACAAAACGTATGAACTGCTCTGAAAATCGACACAGAACCATTTAAGCAAATTTGGGCGATTTTGCTCCAGTTTTGCGTTCAATTTTTTGACCCGAAAAACGCCTATAACACTGCCTCCAGAGGCGCTTGGGAGATAATGAAGGCAGATTTGGAATCACTGTGCAATACTCTCCAAAGGAGTATGGGACTCATCTGAAAAGGCCACTTCGACTATACACGCTTCCCTTGCTAGTTCGGAAGGTAGCTTTACCGAGAGTGCCTCAGTCAGCAAATGCTAATACCGAAGTTACCATTTGACTAAAAAGATTCAAATATCGTTTATGAAGTGGACAACCATGAACCTCTTTGTGTTAGTGTTCAACTTATCGCTACCAACCTAATAATTGTAAAACTTATTTTCACAACATTGCTTGCGCCTATTTTGCGTGCACCTTTAGTGTCATATAGGGTCATTGTGTAAAGGATGTCCCAAAGAAAGCCTATCCTTTAGTCGGTTATATTCCCCGTAAGCCAGAATATCTTGCCAATACTCACCATTCTGTAGAGCAGCGTTCCTTAGATTTACGGTATAAGGCCTAAGGCATACCTCGCGACTTCGTCAAATGGCTACATTCACGCGACTTGGCGGATTGCCAGATTTCTACAAACCAACCGTGCGCGGATCTCGAATGCATAGGCGCGTAGCTTCCGTAAGTTTTAGCAAAACTACCAAGTCTGACTCATGCAAAGCGCGCTTACGGCCAGATATGAAGAGTCGCTGCGGTGCTAAATCGCGCAGCGACTGGAATCGCGTGAGGTATGCCTTAGGCCTAAAGCGAATCACCGATTTACCAGAAACTACGAACAGAGTTTGCACAACTAGGAGTCTCGCCTTAGAAAATTCCGAAAAAGCTGAAAATCTTGTCACTAGCAAATTAGGGACGCTGACACCTCAGTTATAAGCAGTGAGCCTTACTGCAGATCACCGCACTAATGTTACTTCTGGTATACTCAAAACGGTATCCCTATAGTCAAGGACATGATGTCATCTAAAATCTTTTACATCTTTCACAAACCCTCACGAAGTTATCTACTGAAATCATCACCACTAAAAAACTTCGGTAGAAAAGATTTCAAGTGTATTGCGTATTTTCTGTATTGCCGAATTTGCGACACGTCTTAATGCTGAAAGTTCCTACCGTAATCTACGTATGGCGACGGTACTTTGTTCCATACCGTATAGCGGGCGTCAAACAACATGGACATTTCGGACACTTTGTATTTTGACCTAATCCTTCTGCAATAAATCGCGACCATTTATAACAATCTGCTACAAAAAGATTGTATGCTTACTAGAAAAACATAAAACACCTCATTGTCATTTTTGATGTATAAGTAGCACCACTTTTATGCGTTAGAGACTCAATTTGATATAAGATAAGACGTGTAGTTTTTAGCATTTTGTCTGCAGCTGCTTCACAGTACGCATGTTTGAAGGACAGCAGTGTGTGATTTTGCAAAAGTCCAAATGTCTGTGGGTGGGAGAATCTGAAAATGTTATTCGAGGCTAGGTAAAGCGCAGTGATCGTGGATTGATGGGGGTTCTGATGGCTGTCAATGGCTTGTCAGTACGAAAACACATCACATATGTGTCTACGGCCGTAGGACAGACTGTCATCACGTCGGCCGGTGTGTGGCATGCGCGACAGCCAGGCGACAGAAAATTTTCGCGTCACACGCGGCATACACAACTTTATCTGGATTTGTCTTAAAAGAGAAATAAAGCCCTTGAAAATTGAAAAAATTACAGGTGATCAATGCCATGGCGCGGGTGCAGTGCTTGCGCATCCAACCACGTTCTACCGTCTACTTGCACCAACTGACGGATGCTACGCTGAAGAATTGGAGCTCGTCTCCACCATCTACGATAGCTCTTTACAATTGTGCGAGCAACTTCACTCTTCAAGGCATTGTCGAAATGATCAAAGTAAGTTTATTTTTCAAAAAAAAACAGCAATAGTCAAAGGTTCCTAGTGTGCCATATATATCCCAAAAATATGTATCCAACGTTCGAGATTTGTGTTTTAGAATGCGCTATCGGTCCCTCCTCATTACTGTAGGTTTACAGTAGCAACTTTTGATAAATCGCGTTGATGAGAGCATACAATGCCACCAAAAAATTCACCGAAACCTTTGTCACCAGGTTAATCAGCAGTGTTGATTTCAAAACGAGCTTATTCGTAGCGTAAGTCACGACAGATTTACTGTGACGGGTACCTCCTCAGTAATTTCCAAAAAGCTAAATACTGAAAATAACAAACAAGTGAAAAGCTATTCACTTGTTTCATTGGGTCTACAATTATAATCACAAAAGCTTCCAAACGTTTTGGATTTTTGAACATAACTGATTTGCTATCGTGCTAAAAGTTCTTACGGTAATCCTACGCTAAGAAAGAGCGACGGGAGATGTTGTATCCATGATCCTTTTTTAGAATCCTGGCGAAGGTTTTAGGTGTTTTCCTAAACATAACTATGCCTAAACAACAAAGAAAGTCTCGAAGAATTACCTAAAAGAGTGTATTTGGTTGCATGGTCGTTCCAACTCTGAAATGTGCAGTTGCACACATTCGCAATAAAATCTATTTTAGTATGACTTGTGAGAGACTCAAGACCGCTTCAGGCCTCGGGCAGACTTCACGCGATTCAGTCGCGATGCGATTTGGCAATGTTTCAATTGTTTATAATTTATCGTAATCTCATTATGAATGTACAGAAGATAGAGCATTTTGTCAATCTGCGAAAGTCATACATACCGTGAGTTTGAATTCCGCAAAATTGAATTTCAGGATACCTGGATGGTTGCCAGATCGCATAGCAAACGAAATCGCGTGAAGTATGCCCGAGGTCTTACACACAATGTTTGAACAAGCTCGATCTTGTGTTTAACAAGTCTATACTTGTAATTATTAGTTTATTTACCATGTGAAACAGGGAAGGACAAATTTGAGCTTGTTTGAACATTGTGTGCAAAGCGGTGCCGAGTCTTCTAGTCTCAGAATGATGATACTTTATTACATTACAGTAACCGTAGATACCCCTATCTCAAAGCATAACTTGGTTATGTTGTTGTGTCGTAATTGACGGGTTGCCGCTTTCGTCAACTAAAAGTGCAACGCCGAACTGTCAGCTTAGCGTCATAAAGCACATTAAATAAGTCGAAGTAATTGTAGTGCAAGAAACATTATCATTTAAAAAAAAGCATGTTTACTTCCTTGTAATTGAGTGACAGCAAAGCATTTCTAATCCCCAAGTGTAATGTTCTTTGAAACATTCTGGAATTTTCTGCAATGATATAAAATTGTATAAACAAGTGGGCACCTGATAGGTGTGGCTAGCAGTTCTTAGGTTGTCTCAAAAGCCTTTCATATTCGAACTTTCAAATTCATATCTCTCCGAAACTAAGGCACCTACAAAGCTGAAAATTTGTGGCAGCGTTTCTGAGTAAATAAGCTGTATAATCACATATTTGCGAGGAGCACAGAACAGCTATAGGCAAACTTTAAAAATCGAGCGTCTTATTTACATTTTTTTCTGCTAGCGTCATCGCTAGTACAAAGGCATCGGACATCTGAGCAGCAGAATTGTTTTTTGAACCGCTCGCCGTGGCGCCGCGCCCCTGATTGGTCAGCACATCGGTTCGATTGGCCAGATTTCATGCAAGACGGAGCAAGGGCGGAGCAGAGAACAAGTTGTGTCACAAACATGCTCTTCACTTCTGTACATCTGCCCTGCAAACAATGACCCTTTCCACTCACCATGTGATGTAACTCGGCCATTCTTTGGAGACACGCGGCGGAATGAGTAGAGGATTCGGCACGCGCTGGTTTGAAGAATTTCTGAAAACGAAGTAGTCCACGGATTTGCATAATTTTTACGAAGTCCCCTTTGGAGTCAGCATCAGAATGAAAGCCTTTATCTAATCTACGTAACAATAAGAGCAAAAGAAGCACATCTTGATATAATTAATACAACAAAAAAGCAAAAAAACATATTTTAAGTCGGCTAAAGGTTCTGTTATTGAGAATGGTATCATTTTGGTGTCAATATGTCGAAAGTTCCTCAAGCCAGCATTCAACCAAATCTGTAGCCTACAACAGTTTGGCAATGTTATCCTCCACATAGTCCAAAGGACGCCCTCACATGCATATGATTGGAGCGCGATATCTTTGAAGCGTAAAAATTGACATGTTTGCCAATTTTTTCCTGGGCTCCACCCCGGACCCTGCATATACGATATTCCGTGCCATTTAGCTCAAAAAACGAAGTACAGTTTGACCTCAGTCCATCGCCGGGACCTGAATGTGCACCGTGCACAATTTTGAGATGATCAAAATTGTACCACAGAAGCTCTCTACAAACTAAACCAAACAGCCTAGGCAATGTTGGAAACAGTGAAATTTCAACAATTTCCGGCAGCTATCCTTCTTGTCGACTTCTCACATTGTTTGCAATCACAGATTTTTTGTTTCAAAGTCCTTATCATTGCAGGAACTCCCACGCAACGAGTTTGTCGACTGGGATTTCGGTCGTATACTGCCGCGAGATGGTGTTGACGGTCAACTTCTGTCGCTCATGTCGATCTCTGGAATGACCATCTTCGTCAGCGATGACTACTGCTCTCGTCGAGTGCAAATCGCGAGTGGATCGTCACGAATCGCATTCAACCTTATCAGAGAGGAGGCCTTCACTTCGTGACTTCAATGATGGACATTGAAATGCACAACTAAGTTTAACAGATTCATCCTGGATTTTCTTTACGGGTTTCTACTTTTCGTGTTGTTACTTCATTTCGGTCACATAGGATTGATGCATAGATGTAGGATCTGCATAAATTTTCACACAATTCAGAGTTAGGGTTTACACCATTTCCATTACAATCATTCCGGCAGTATTTATCAAGGTTTTGTTTGTGAATTTTGTACCTGTACTTCAATAAAAACAATTACGACAGCATTAATGTAACACTACAAAAATTTCAAAAATGTACATCTCAGCTGGAATAAAAAAGATACTCTCAGTGAGTACTTATCCTCGTTAAGTAAATGTTATATTGACAAACAGCATAAATTACGATTATTTCACGTAGAGCTTGGATAGCTTGTGATTAGCTAGTAATCAGTAAAGCTATCTGCTCAGCACATAAATCCCGAATTTTGGGCAGTTTTTGCGGTTTCTAGCAAAGAGGACTTTTTACGAGAATTTTTCGAAGTACTAAAACTTCCTAGTATATCAGAAGTTTTAGTACTTCGAAAAATTCTCGTAAAAACTGCATTCATCAAATAACTTGTAATCAAAAAAAAAATGTCATAAACTGTGAATTCATTAGAAATATTCTGAGTAAGAGTTTTACAAACTGCGTAAGAGATCTCCTAGCTGAAGGAACGCTGTATTGATGCCAATGAAGCGCTTAAAAAACCGCACTTACCCGTTAACTATTCCCGAGGACCTCCTAAAGTATCATCGGCTTCCAGATTCGTGTGGAGCTGGAGTCTTGCCAACTCAGCGCGTGGCGGTTTTTGCTAGCGAGAGAGTACGAAAAGCAATGCTTTGACGTGGAGGTTTAACAAGTTTACCTGTGTTATCAGGCATAGTCTGCAATACACCTCCACACGAATCTGGAAACCGATCATACATACTTTAGTCTAAAAAAAATTTTTTTTTCAGTGTATTCAATAAGGACTGCCTACTTGCCACGTGGCAAAAATCTGACGCGTATTATTTCAGTTTGGAACGTTCTTTTAAAGATTTTTTGTGATTAAGTCAAGTAGATTTTCTGCTCAATGTAGTGTGCTTGCACTGCAGGTGAAATGCGTTGAAATTTGCGCGTGAACAGATATCAAGTTCGTCTCATAAGTTCCACTGGTTTTGAATTTCAACAGCAATAAGTCATAAACCACTTGACATCAAATGGGTAACAAAGTACCATTTGATAGAAAAAGCAAAGCAAGCTCTATAAGATGGCAATTTCTGTCTTACATCAGCTCTGATCCTTCACGAGTTTCAAGCCGAAAAAGCTAAAAAACTAAAAAAAAACTAAAGAAAACTACTCGAAAAATCAAGAAAAAATGGTAACTCCGTCCAAGAAAATCCTACGAAAATTTTAGCTTGCTCACGTTGGCACTTCCACACAAAACACTTATATATGCTACTGCAGTATTTCTTCCTCGGTTAGCAATTAAGAAAACGAAGATTTTCATGCCTTGGGCAAAGTCATTTTGTGCTGTTCCCACATAAGTAATCCTGTACTACTAGCCTGTAGAAGCACAAACACAAATTTCCAGCTCTCCATAAGCTCTAGTTTTTGAAAAGTATAGATTAGCGTAAGTCACTCGAATAAGAGAAGCTATATTCGATATCTCGAAAACTGAAGCTTGTAGAGAGCTGAAAATTCGTGTTCGTACTTATACAGGCTAGTAGTATACAACTAATTATGTGGGAACAGCACAACATGACTTTGCCCAAAGCATAAAAATCTTCGTTTTCTTGATTTCTAACGGAAGAAGAAATACTGCAGTGGCGTATATAAGTAAATCTGCAGTGGCGTATATAAGTGGCTTGTGCGGAAGTGTAAACGTGAGCAAGTTAAAATTTTTGTAGGATTTTCTTGGACGGAGTTACGTTTTTTTTCTTGGTATTTTAAGTAGTTAAATCTTTTTAGTTTTCGGCTTGAAACTCGAGAAGAATCAGAGAAGGTCCAAACCGAAACTGCCATCTTGTAGAGCATGCCATAAATGATACTTTGCAATCTATCTAGAAACGAGAGGTTTATGACTTACATATTGCTGTTGAAATCCATAATGGACGGAAAGCCGAAGGTTAACACTTCCCTCCTTCGATGAATTTGGAATAGAATGTAGCACAAAGAAAAAGGAAATATGTTTCGGTGAAAAAATGGATCCGAATAAGAGGAAAGTACCAAAAGGCAAACCTAAGAGTGCTACCCATGCATTGGTCATATAGTCGTCCTCACCCCACTAGTCGGTCGGTGAACGAATTCGAACTCGAACTGAAGCAGGCAGGTCGCGGCAGAGCACGGCACCTTAGCTCTCCGTTCAAATTCACGCATTCACTTTGCGTATTTCTTCGCCATTGCTTAGTAGTTTTTGTATTGTTGCAACGTTTTTGACCTATACTGAGTTTTTGTAATTGCTGAGCGTTGTTTTCTGCCGCGCTCTGCCGTGACAGGCCTGCTCCAATTCAAATTTGAATTCGTCCACCGACCGACTAGTGGGGTGAGGGCGAGTATACACTGCGTGAACTGATGAAGAAATGGAAATTTAAGAACTGTTCCTTTCTGGCGACTAGCTAGTTGCGTCGAAGAACGCCCATTTGAAGGTACCATGCTTACTTTGTTCAACATTTGCTGCAGTCCCAGAATTGATCAAGAAGCACAGTAAAATAAACTTTGGTGGTAAAGGACCGAAATGCAGCGTGCTTTTAGGAAACGAATGATTGTACTGAGTTAGTGCTTTTTGGAGGGAACAGTTAAGCGATCTCGTTTGATATTTTGCAGAAATTCTTCTTGAAGAAGTTCGCCAAATTTAGTGTTACTGCTTAGCCGACCATTGGCTACACAATAAGCAAAGTTTATGCCATTCTAGCGCATTCCAGATTGGGTTATAGTTTCCTAAAGTAAAGCTCCGAAAGAGAGTGGGCTATCTCCAGCCTGAAAAATATTTCTTGTTTTAGCTCAGATAAGGTAAAATCATAATGTAAAGGTCGTGCTGATTGTAGTACAATTCATTACGTTTACAACGATCACCTCTGAAAAGAGTTATGGTAAATATGGTATGGTAAATCAATTTTGCTCAAAAAATGGGTAAAGCTTTTGGTATAACCCAGTATATTACAACGGGTCGAGAGCGAAGTATAAACCTTTGATTCAAAAAATTTCAGTAAATTTTCTAATGGATAATCTTACATAAAAACTTATGCACTAATGGGCAAAATAAAGTGGTTCTGGAGTGCCAACCTTCTGCCACGTGTCAAAAAAAATTTGACATGTCATCTATATGTTAAACAGGTCTTACCAAGGTTTTGTTTTGAACTACCTAGCGACGTGAATTGATCCTGTATTTAAGTCAATAATGACCCCATTTTCAAATAAAGGATCTCAGAAATGAACACTGATCCTACTATCATAACTTATAATAACGGGCTAAGGTTGTTTACGTGTTTTTGTGTGTGTGTATGTATGTCTGTGTGTCTGTCTGTAACGAAATTCATGGAGCGAGTTCCAGCCAACGTCCTGAGCCCAAATTTTGCACATCGCATGCGACCAACATAAGAGCCTACCATGCAAAAGCACGAGTAATTTTGTTGGGCGGATCCCTCAGAAACTGCGCGTCAAACAGAGCCACTTGGGTTCTTGCCAGCAAAATTGTTTCCGTATCACCAATTTTTGCAAAGTCGGGGATGTGTTTGGCATGCTAATGTGCAGGCCATGGATTTTAGTCCAAAAAAGTGGACAAAAGTTCACTACTTCACGAGAACGACGCCAAAAAGAAATTGTTGCGTAAATGGTCAATTTGCCATGGTTTTACCTGAGCATTTGAGAAAAATTTTGCACAGAGATGTAGCTCACGTCGCCCACTGTCCTTATGGCAGTTACCAAGCCAGAAAGAGTCCTAAAACCTATTCAAATTTGTATTTGTTCTTTTGCGAAAAGTTTCATCCACGCGAAATCACCGATCTTACATGAAATAGCATTTGGAATGGGTAGTTGTTTACATTTTAGTCGCGATAATCGGCACTGCCCGGTGAGTTTCATTGCCACCATTAGTCAAGAATGAGTAAGACATATGAAGTAAGACCAGTGCGAGCCTCTGCGAAGCAGAGGTGACGCACTGGTTTATATAATAACGCGCTAAGGACGTCTGTTTTTTTGTGTGTCTGTCTGTGTGTCTGTGTGAAAATCTGTCTGTCACGAAATTCATAGAGGAAGCTGCAACTAAGCTATCGCGCTGCAATTTTGCATAACATACCGTGCCAGCGTGTAGGCCCACCATGCACAAGGAGGACCCGGTTCGATAAGCGGGTCCCTCAAAATTTGCGCGTCAAATGGGTCCACTCGCCTTTTGGCATGCAAAACTGGGTCGCTAATTCGACTTTTTGCAAAGTTATGATTTGCCTGACAAGTAACTCTGCGCGCCATGAATTCAAGCCCAAAAAGTGCTCAAAAAGTTTGCTTTTTTGCGAAAACAGCGCCAAAAAGTGATGAATGCGTAGATAGTCGATTTGGCAAGGTTTTATCTGAAAAGACTGAAACGATTTTTGCACTGGAATGTAGCCCAAGGTGACTATTATCCTTGAGACGATTATCAAAGTAAAGTAAATTTAGTAATCCGTTCAAATTCGCATTTGTTTCCTCGCAACAAAGTTTTTTTTTCTTAAAATTACCGATCTTACATGGAAATGCTTCATGAATGAACGGTTGTTTACGATTCATTTGTGATTCTCAGCATCGCGTGGTGAGTTTCAAAGCCATTCTCATGCGAACATGAGAAAGGCATAAGGACAGGGAGCCAGTGCGAACCTCCGCGAAGCGGAGGTGAAGCACTGGTATAATAATAACTTCATCCTGTTATCCTTGAACGGATCAGATTTGCCCAAAATGGAGAAGTGTGCTAGGATTCCATTATCCACGAGGCGAAACAAGCAGCACAGAGATACCGCAAGGTATCATTTATAGTCTCTCTGACTAAATTCGCATGGCCGAAAGTTTGAAGCGAAAGACAAGTTTGAATTATTGCTGAAAGCAATTAAGATGTCTGCGATAAGTTCTAGACAGTTTCGCTTCTATAGAAAACAGTTGAAAGACCTTTAGGTGGTCACAAACGTTTTTTTACCTCACGGGAAATGATTTCGAGGAAAAAAAACAAGTCAAAACGGACTAAACGTGTTAAATTTTTCCTGACATGTGGCGAGGAGGCAGTCTTCGTAAAATTTACAAAAAATTATTGCTAACTAAGAACGTATGTTATGAGAGCCTTTTGAAAAAATGGGTCCGGATAACGGAAAAATACCAAACGTTCCCTCGCAGCCTTTTACTTCAAAAACATTCTTTGTCATTCATTAACAATCAAGCGTCAACTGTGAAGCATATTCTACTATCTATCGGCGTTTGGCACCGACATTTTTGTCCTGGACTCTAGAAGGAACGCAGGTTGTGTGTCTGAATCTGGATGTGAACGTTGAAACAACTCAAAGCATCCAAGTCCCGAGTCGGACACTAGCTATAAGTTCCTAGAATATTATATGAATGTCAGTAGTTTTTTTTTTTCTCTTATCTTGCAACACAGAAACGTGTAAAGATTACATAATAACCTTTTCATGAAGATTATGTTCGTCCAAAAATTTTAGATTTCTGTATACATCAGATTTTTGAATTTGCAATCGTGCCCTACCTATAATGAAGATGCCAGGATTTCCGTGCGAAACGTTCGAATCCAACAAAAGGGAAGTTCTATGATAAGAAATTTGAGCACTGTTCAATGGCGTCCAAATCAGTCCATAAAGTATAGCTGCGGGAATAGCAAAACATTCATGAAATCACATTCTGCCCCTAACACCTTGAATTAGTTTTTAGAGGCTTTGGCATATTTCATTTTGGAGTCTATTTCTACTCTTTTTGCTCAAAGCAGTTTGATTTCTGGAAAGTTTCTGGCCTCCAAACTGAAACTAGTGTTTATAAGCAGGTCATCTTGAGCCCCTCCTCTCTGCACTTTAATATGAAATTTCTCCATTCTTATAGTGTTTTTTCTTTCTAAATAACTTCACATACCATTCTGTAGGGTAGCCCTCAGCTTGGATTAAGCAGGCCAAAGTACCGATTTTTTTCATCATCGCAAGACTATGGTAGGAACTTCCAAGTTATCTGCTTGAAAATGCTGCAAAAAATTTGCGCGCAAGCCCTAAAAGGTATGGCAAACAACCCCTTTTTGGAATTGTGCCAACCCCACTAACTTACCTCCCTAGAGAATTTTGGCGAACAGAACTTACTAAATAAAATTGATAGCAAATACCTCGTATTTTTATATGGATTAGAGCTGAATTTGTCTTTTTTCATTTGAGCAGTCGTTGCTAGAAGCACAATAACCACTGTAGACGGAAAAATGGGACAAATGAGATTTTGGCTGGCTCCTAAGTCATAGTTTGATGGCAATATGAAGCAGAATTCTGGGCAAAGAGGGTTTAGCGCTTTGTATTGAGCACAAAAGAGGTAGCTAATTCACTTTTTAAACATAGTCAACTCTGTTTGAAGATGATCATCTCACTTGGCTGGCTCAATATTGGAAACCTTCAGAAATCGCTAAAACTTGGGCCACTGGGGTTACTTGACATGATAATTACGAATACTGCTGCTAATCATGCTTGGTAGAGCCTCTGTCATGCCTACGGTAAGCAAACGATATTGCCGGGGGAGGGGGGGGGGAGGGAGAGAGAGATTGAGACAGAATTTAGGGGAGAGGGAGGCGGGGATTGTATCCGGAGGTTGTGGGCCACACCTCTTGCTCACCCTGGTTATAATTCTTCGCCATGTTGAAACTTTCAAAGCCTGAAACAGTTCAATTGTGCAGGGCCTTCAGTGACCTGACGTCAAATTCAAATGCACGCTTTGGCGGCGATATCCCTGAATCAGGACGAAGATGCACAGCGGCCGCGGCGCGGTTGCGCCGTCATCCTCGTGGTTTCCGGATTTTGACAACTTAATGTTCCGCCTCTGATCTTTTTGTGGTCTCTGTATCTCTTAGCTCTGTATGGGGTGCTTTACAACATGCCTTCTTCCTGTAGTGCCTCTCAGCTGTCGTGCTAGTGTCCTGTTTCGAAAGTAACCATTTCTGTTTTGTAGCGAAATGGCGGATCCAGTAGCAGATTTTTTGGCTAGGGAACAAGATTTATTCGCGGAAATCGATGGTGCACCAGTTGGAGGAGCTGCGGCCGCCCCACCCGGTATGTTTCGTTGGTTTTTGCGCATGAATTAGAAGTTCAGGCAGTTGCTCTATTGAAGTCAGTCAGTCTGCGAAATGGAGTGTATTAGATTTTAGCTGCTGCAGAACCACCGCCTGCTCCTGCAGCTGATGATATCGCGGCGTTGATAGATCCCCCATCAGTTGGAGGTGGAGATTCTGGTGTTGACTTAGCTGGGATGGACTATCAACCAACGCCACCAGGTAAGCGAACATGTTTGCTTTATTTTAATTGTTGATCAAGTAGTGCAACTCTCACTTATCTCATGGGTGATTTCGAGAGCGGTTTTACATATCTCCATTCAGTCCCGCTTGTTAACGGAAATGGCGTCAATAGCCACCAGTCGGCTGCGAGCTCCAAAGGTCCGTCACCTGTACCCGTCCCACGCATCGAGGCCGAGAATATCCGTAGGTGGCGGGAGCAACAAAAAGTACTCCTGGAAAAAAAAGGTAATGTGTTAATTGCATTGTCCATGCTGTGTGTTTTTTTCTGGTTCTAGTGGCGTCATTTACACATGTGGAATTCTTGAACGTGGGCGCTTGTCTAGACACGTGTTGCTTATTTATTTTTTCGGGAAGATGTTCCATAAACAGCCTAGTTGCGGTATCAGCGTAGATTTATGTATCGCACTCAAGCAAAGTAAAGAAAGTGTGCGAACTTCTCCAGGTAAAAGGCGTGCACTAGCGAAAGCGAAAGCTAAGGTAGTGTTTTCGATTGATCACTGCACTAAACCCTGAAGGTAAATAATTTCCATAAACGGCTTTGGTATAGCTGGCTGAAGTGGCGATATAAGGTGAGATGTCTGTTGCTGAAATTAATGATAAGTGCTGGTCTCAAAACTGCAAATTTTTGTGCAGAACGCTTTCTCAGGATTTTGAAAGTTTGTCGTGTCAGCCGAATAAGCGCTGCAACGAGTGCAATACGTTCGAGTGGTCTGAGTGCTCGTTTAATCCAGATACCCGAGCATGTCATTCGTTACTACGCACAGCGATATACATCTAATTACTTGGCCACTTTGATTAATACTGCTTCCTTCATTAGCCTTGAAGCAAAATTTTCGTGGTGTACATTTTGAAAGCATCGATCCATTCGCGCATTCCTTGCCTGTATGGTCAGTTGGTTGTTTGAGTTTGCGCGCCACACCTTGCTGTTGAGCTTTCATCTTGTATGCTGCTTATGACTTCGTAAGATTATCCGAAATGGCGGACCGCTTGTTATTTACGTTTTTGAGTTCATCTCATTGAAAGGCTAGCTCTTTTTCTTAACAAAAGCTTACAAGAACTAGGTCGATGCAAAGTATATTAGCAAAGGCGCAAAGTAGTACAATACTTCCGGAATTCAGACCGCTATTGTGTTAGGTGATAGTTTTCTGAAAGTATGTGTATGCCGTTTTGGTTCTCTGTTAAAAACACTCGGCAGTGCTGCATAACAATACTTCAAATTTAGATGAGGCCGAGGAGAAGAAAAAGAACGAGCTGCGTGCTGCAGCGAAAAAAGAATTGGAAGATTGGTACAAACAGCGAGAGGCTGCCCTCAAACTAACAAAGGAAGCGAACAGGTGTGGTGAGAAACGAATTCGAAGCTAAACATATATGACAGCTTTACCTCAATTTTGACCTATTGTTCTGAATAGTTGTGCTTTTTAGAAGAGTCTAAAATGTACTCGTTATCATTTTGTTTGCGTCGTTCAGTTCTAGGTTTACAAAATCTTGTTATAGTATAAAAATATTTGTCCTTTTCAACCTGAGGCAGTTCACGCCCATGAGTGAGCGGATCTTGCACATTATGCTTATCGAGAAAAAATTTTTCTTCCATGGCCATGTGATTATTCTTTCACCTTACGCTGTCAGACGGTGCGTTGCAACTTTCTGATCTTGTTCTTGTGCCGTCATATTGCGCCTAAACTCTGCAAAAATATCATAACGTTGAGTACGACCTATTTACGTCCAGTCTACTGCTCCCTGAAAATAGATTTAAGATTTGAACAAATTTTTGCTCACGGAAGTTTTTTTTCTCATTCTCATCGCAAAGTTTTCCCCAATGATCTCAAGAATCCCAAGCGTAGGAGTTCTATAATCTTAGCCAGTGGTCAATTTTTGTCAGTACAAATCAAAGCCATTAATAAGGTGGATTATATATCGGTAAGATTGCGTCTGATTTTGTTCAGCGTTGTGCACAATCATGTTTAGGGGTTGTTCAATGAAGAAAAATGCAGGCGGGACATCATAGATATTGCCCATAGTATAGGCCATTCATAAAATCGTGACGACGGATTTGACGCGGTCTTTGCCCCCACAGGAGCAAAAAACACTCATATTAAAAAGCATCACCTCAAATTATAACTCACAACCAGTTACTTTCTATGTCCAGTTACTATCATATGCAAGCAGAAAGAGAGAGAGAGAGAGCAGATCGTGTCGCGAGCGGTCGAGCCATCGTCACGATTTTTCGAATGCCCTTTATGCATTCTGCTTGCGGGCTCAAATTTCTACGAACGCTGGTCTACTTTTTTGAGTTAAAGCACTACGACTCCCAGTATCACGCGTTTTTCCTACAACAGCTTGACGCTCTACCTAAAATGTGTACACAAATGAAGTGATTTTGTTCAAAGCTGCTTAATAAAATTGAGTGGTTTAACTCAGGTTGTTACTGTCTGTGGCATGTTGTGCCTATCAAGTTTGTTCTTATGCAGTTTGTTTTTATGTTAGCTTATTATTGTAAGTAAGTCGGATCGAAACCCACATGACAAGCTTCTATATTCGTCGAACAAGTTTTCAAGTTCGTTGCGTTTTCAAAGCATTCACGCAATATGGCCCACCGGTGGGTCGTAGGATTTGTTTTTACCGTTTTGATTGATTTTTTGCAGTATCGTCCCAGAAGCTCAGATCTTACACATTAGGTTTTGTAGCATGCTGATTACGTAAGTGATAACCTCAAGTTCTCATGCCGACTTCCTACGTCAGTTTCTTGAGTTTTACGAAGTTTCTACCGTACTGCTATCGTACCTCCACTGTGGGACATTAGTGAACGAAGTGAACAATATAACCGTGTTCATGAAGTAACCCCAAAACACTATTTTTCATGAAATTCCCTGGTGTTGGTTTCGTACAGAATGACTACCGTAACCTTACCGTATAATACCCAAACAGAAATATATCATATTTTGATGAACAGAGCCTTGGATAACCCCTCTGAGGCAATTCTTGGAGGCATCTCCTGTTTTTTCTTTAAAAAGACTACCGTTTAGGACAACATGACCCACCCGTGGGTTGTAAGTTTGACGAAGCGAAAAAGGCTCTGGTGCGGAATGGCAATTATCGAAGAATCGGCATTGTCATGAATGTGATAAATGTAGTTTGCGTATGCAGTTTGTTTCAGAAAAGCTGAAGAAGAGCACCTAGCCGCATTTGGTCGTGAACAAGGAGAAGGTGCGCAGTGGGATGAGATTGCACGGCTGTGTGAAGCAAAAGCTCAACAAAAAGGAGGAAAGGACGTCAGCCGCCTAAAGAGTTTGTTGCTTCATCTTAAAGACCAGAATCAGAAGTAAACATGCATGTAATGGATTTCGGTCTACTTTAATTTCTATTTATTATGAAGCTAAATAACTTTTACGATGAGATTCTATATATACACTATGCAAATTCCCGTTTATTCCGCTTTTACTTGATTCACTTTGAATGTATCGCGTACTCTTTGCTTCAATCGCATCACCCCTTTTCTTTTCTGTAATCTCCTTTTGCGAAGACATGCGATTAAGAAATGTAATATGAATAGGGATTCCGTTGTGCTGTGTAATTTGGTCTTTCGCATAGGGTTTTCCTTAAGATCCCCAAATGCGGCATCATGGTACTCTATCCATCAACCCTCATGTTCCGTTCCATTCTGAAACGAGCATAATTCTACTAAATGTGCATTGCTGTTGTGTTTGATTGGCATTGAAGTCAAAGGAGCAATCGTCGGGGTGGTTTTGTGTTATCTATATATTGCAGTTCAGTTTCGTTCATTTTTCTTTGTAGCCTTTTGCGATGTGCGATCCAAATGTTATGTTATTGTACATCTTGAAGTCTTGTGATATGTAGAGAATAAATATATTAGTTGTCAGTACTTGAGTGTTCTAAATGCGTGTTCGTGCGCTTATCATATCAGCCGAGTCCTGCAAACCACTTCACTTCTCGTAAGTCAAATCTGTTGCTGTGGTGCCGAGAATGATGTAATGTACTGATAAGAGGATCAGATCTGAAACCCTGGTTTGCAATGGAAAACGCGAGCAGTGGTAAATATTCTGTGCAAAATATGTGAATTCTGGATTAACAAGTTTGCGTTGCTTTAGCTCCAGCCGCCGAAGAGCTTTTGGAGTTGGTTGAAAAACAGGATTCAGTAATGGAATGTTTAATGGAGAAATTGGAAATGTGTCAGAATAAAATAAGGTTACTCCAGGAAGCCAATGAAAAAAGGGTGGGTAAAAGTTATACAACAAATTTTTATACTTGGCTCTGACTTGAGTGAGCTTGATAAATGGTTTGGAATGCTTTGTGCGTTGAGTGTGAAATGCCTTTCGATAGCTGTGTCTGCCGATTTAGTTCCATAATGCTTTGCATATTTTGAGTGTGGTTAGATTGTTTTCAGTCTTAGGCCCGTATGCACTAACATTTTTGCGGCGAGGGGAGCGGCGTCCCCCGTTATGAAGGGACCGCGTGCGGACGCCGCTGCGGCTTTTTCATCATTGGGGACGCCGCTCCCCTCGCCGCAGGGATGTTAGTGCATGCGGCCCTTAGAGTGTTTTTTCTCAGAAAGAGTAAGTTTGATACCGAGAAGGATATGGAAAACATAACTTACAATGGAAGTATTTTTGATCAAAGTAAGCTTTCTAAATGAGTCGTATACCGCTTCAAAAAACACAGAACGCTGATATATCTATCCTTGTTATCTGTTAATGCCTCTCACGTTGAGTATCAGTGTTTTACCTGGGACGAGGATCCAGGTAAAATCCGTAGTTACATTTTTTTCAGTGTTTAAATTGAGCAGTGTTGAGTATTACTATATCACACATAATATATTTCTGTCAAGAAGTGCTCTAATAATCAACATTGGACAGTTTGAGCTGTTCTGAACAAATTCTTTTCAGTAACGCATTTGTTTTTTTTTGACTCAAAAGCGCTCGCTCGGCTTCCAAAGGTGGGCAGATAAGGAATATAGTTTGGAATTGTTTTTCAATGATCTTCATCGCTAAACTTCGTGCAGAGGAGTCACTTCTACTCAAAACACTTCGTTGTTAGAGGTGAATTCTAGTGTGAGTGTCACAAAAGAAAACGGTCTCCACCAACTCTGCCACTCTCAGCCATGTTTACTTTTGAAATGGTTGGACTTCGTGCATTCTGGTGAATGAGGGTCTCTTTTTGTTTTCGCCTTACGCGGAAAATACTTACACTTCTTGTGCAAATGCACATGTAAATAATTCAAATCACTTCACTGAGTAGTTTTGCGGACCTATTATCCGCCTTTGATAATGTTTGTTCAGTGTTTTCCCATATGTTGCTTATGTTGATAGTCACCTAGTGAAGCAGGACTGTATTGTCTACGTGCTTGTTCTTCACCTCAGGCCCTTCTGAACAGAGCCATTAGGAGTGACAAAGTTCTCATAAATTGATCGTTGCTATGACAGTTATGGAAATCGCATAACAAGAGGTTATTTTGTATACTGATGGGTGTCCTCAACAAGTACTGTCGCCGCAAGATTTACCTGGTTGGAGAACTAGCGAAATATTGTCTTTCAGCAAGATTCACAAAATGAAGCAAATGCTCTGGTTGCAACTACTCAACAAAAGATTGCCAACGCGCTTGCCGCTGTGGAGCTTCTTCAGGTAATAATTAGTTCTTTGAACAGCTTTTACTTATGGATTTTAGGCTGAAAAAGAGAAATTGGAGAAAGAGTTAGATGAAGCTCGTGAGAAAGCTGAAGAAAAACCAGTCACATCCATTATCCAGCTTCGGAACAGAGTGAAAGAGGTAAATTTACTAAAGCTGATTCTGTAAGTGATTCACCATGTTTAGCTCGAATTCGATCTGCAGCGTGAACAGCGCTCGTCTAATGCCCTCCAAGTAGCCTTGGATTTTCAGAAATCTAGAAATGAGCAGGTAATATGATTTAAAAAACTGCTGTCACAAATTTTTCTTCTGTTTTGTTTCATTGGCATATTTTTTCCTGTTTGCTTAGCGATCCCATTTACAGTTGCAGAGTGCGGTCGATGAAGCAAATAACTCAAAGAAACTGGTAGTGGCTTCACTTTCTGCAAAAATGGAAGAAGCTCTACGCGATACAGCAGAACTTCGGCTCAAGTGTCAGTGTGAGTGTCCCCCATAGTTTACTTTGTGTTTTGTTTATAATTTCGACTATGTAAACTATTTGGATTAAGCTCTACTGGACGATCGCGAACGAGTTGAGTCTGAGTTAGATTCGGAACTCAAAGTTGTAAATCAACGTTGTGTGCATCTAAGAACACATTGTGATCGTCTATCAAATGAATTGACCAAACTCCGCAAAGAATGCAAAGTGGCGGAATGCCGTCTATCTGCTCTGATTGAAGAGAACGCCTTGCTCAGAGGAAAGGTGAGTATCAGCTATTTCCAATATGGTACTGTCGATTAGTAGTGCTATATGAGTTGAAGTCACTGTAAGTATCTCCAAAACATTATTGTCTGGAGTAACACAAAATAATGCCACAAAATATTTTTTTGTCTTTTTCGTAGTCTATTGCCGTCTAGTGTTTTTGATAACTACTCAGACTTTCGTTGCGTACCAGCGGCGTACCTAAATGGCTTTGCGTACCAGCGGAGTGCGATTAACGTACCAACGGCGTTCCTTAATGCGCCCTACCAGCGGCGTACCGTCTTTTGGCGAGCGGCGTTCCATCAACCCAAGCAAGCGAGCGGCGTCCCATCACATTACCCCACGCTGTAAGCGTAAGCCGTACCCGTATGGGATACGACGCAGTGGTTGGGCCGCCTCAGCATTTTAGTGGTTAGCTAACACTTCTCGGCACTTGACAAAAAAAATGAGATTGAGTTGTTGTTCTCATTGAGTGACCCGGTAACACCTCAGCTGGGTGTTGTAGGGGTGGCCCACAATCCCCCAATTTCGATTCAATGAAGTCCATCGATCGGAATAGCAGGAAATTTTGCGGCGATTTCGGCTTCATAAAATATGACGATATAGCAATTTTCAAACCAACTAATGCTGCAATTAGTACGTAATCAAAAATCGGGTGAACATGCGGTCCGAAGGCGTACCCTCTTGGCGTACCAGCGGCGTACCATTCTCCTGCCAGCGGAGTTCCACAGCGTACCAGCGGCGTGCGACTGCCCTACCAGCGGCGTTTGCGTGCTGCGCTCAGAGGACAGTCGAACGCCGCTGGTACGCAACGAAAGTCGGAGTACTATGAAACTTAAGCAAATTCCTTTGATGGGCAACTTTTTCAGACTGTGAGCGGATCAGCAGACGAATTGGATACAAATCGTAAGTTTCGTCTCCCTCTCCCTATATATATTCTGTTCCCTCTTAATCAGTATGTGGATAATTCAGAGATCCAGAAAATTCTGGAAGATCAAAGCCATTTGATAGCCGCTTTGAAAGAAGAAGGAAAGTTGCTTCTACATCAGCTAGCAACGGAAAGGAAAGAGAATAAGTAAGTTAATCGTCTTCTTCCACTTTTTCTTTGAAGAAGAGATTATCATTCAGAAGTAAAGTAAAAACATTGAAAAAGGAGAACCGTGAGTTGGAAGATCGTCTTCAGAAGTTGCTTTCGTTATAGACATTTTGTTAAGACGCGGCTCCTTTCCGGATAGTTTCTGATGTATATATAGTCCTTTGTCTGATTTTAGCTCTTATCATTGCTATCGCTGTTTGTTGTTTGCAAAAGTCGCGCCAGTTTCTGATCTCGCATTAGTTTCTACCTCCGCATATGATCTCATCTCTCTGTATTCGTATCTCATAGACTTTATGTTCTTGTTTTATAGTCATGATGCACAGTAGCTTCGTATTCTGTATCGGCATCTGTATCAAAGATCCTCATAAAGTTCTTGACGAGAATAGAAGCATCGTAGCATTCTGTAGGGTCGTAAAAAGGCATAAATTGCACTGGTACATATCATTCTTTCTTTGAGTGAGGGACGCGGCTACGCTTTGCGTACGTCTGATTTACTACTACCCTAAAATCCTGCAGATAAGTCCGCCATCTTAGTCCGCCCACAGATAAGTCCGCCTGCAGATAAGTCCGCTTTTTTGACAAGGAAAATCGATGAAAATGCACTCTCGCACCGCCAAGAACCCACAGATAAGTCCGCTTCTTTTCTCAGATGAAAAACAGAAGGATGCGCAGTTGCGCTGCCTTTTTTGGTCTCAAATGAATCAAGCAACAGAATTGAATTGAGAAAGCAACAGAAGCAAGAATTGAGGAAAAGAACAAGGAAGGGATCCGTATCAATGGATACTCAACTGAGGTGCGACGCAACCCTTATTGCGCTGCGCTACGCTGCAGTCCCTCTCGCCTCTCTGATGCCTCTCTCTCTTAGTTACGGTCTCTCGCCACCACGCTCTGAGGTGCGAAATGACCTGGGTTATACAGTTGTGACAGCCAAAAATTTGTCTTGAATGAAGGTTTCAATGAAACAACTTCAACAAAGGATTCTAAAAATATTCAAACGAACAGAGATTCAACAATGATTAGAAATATTTAGACGATTGGACCATCCGACTTAAGGTTTTCAAAATTTTTTGAAGTCCATCGAATAGTAACACGTTTCAGAAATGGGATTTTTGAGAAAGAAAATATTTGGGAATGGTCGAATAATTTATTCGAAATCAAACCTAGATTTGAAAATAATTTGATTCGGTTTTTGAAATTTTAACTCGAATGTCTAGAAATCAGCTTTGAGTATTTTTATAGAACTCATAGTAAAGAATAAACAATTTAGACGGTTTTGGTGCAGCTTCTCCGGAATTTTTACAAGACGCTCAAGTTTTCGGAAAGCGAGAAAAATTCAAGTTAGAAAATCTGACAACGGGTTGAAAAGTGAAAAGCAACTTATCTCCAAAAATTATTGGAATACAAGATGATTAGTAGGAAAAAAAGAAAAAGATTTGATTTTTGTTCCAAAGTCTTGACTGATTTGCTAGTAGGGATCTGATTCGCTGACTCGTCATGTCATATACATATTCCAGCTATTTCTAATTTAATTGTATTGGCTGCGCCATAACCCCAGTGTGGTGAGTGAATGGCACGAGATTCGGGCTGCCGCGTAGCGCAACGCAAGTAAGCTTGCGTCGCTTTTGCTAATTACCACCCGGTGCAGCTGCAAAAGGCTGTCCGGGTCTCAATCGACCGCCTCCCACAAGGAAGTCTAATGCTTTGTTAGGCGTTTTCAGGCTATCACTCTTCCGTTCATTAAAGCATTTGACAAAAGCCGTATGGCGTGGGTCAACAGAGACTACGTTCAGACCATGTAACCTTTGATTCAACTGGCTTGGCACCATTAGGGCGGGGTTTTGTGATCTAATTGAGGCCGCTCGCGCCCGCGACGCACATGCGTCTCTCTCGCGCGAGTGCTCTCTGATCATTACCTAGCCTTAATTAAGTCACGAAGCCCCACCTTTGCAGATGCCAAGCCAGTTGAATCAAATGGTAAACAACAGAGGAAGCAAAAAGTATAGGCAGTCAGGTTCAATTGTTGTAGCCTGTACAGGTTCAAACGATGTGTTGAGAACATTGTCGCTTTCAAAATTAATGCTACCAATGTGAGATGAGATGATTACAATGATACAATAATGATACCTATTATGATTCTTTTCATCGGCAGAAATCGCTCAATTTCGTACAAGTGTCATATCTAGGAAAAGAACTCACCTATCCTATGCGATGACGAATCTGCGACGATACTGTCAGCAAGTAGTCTGCACGGCTTGTCGAGCTGTTTCTTTCAAGCGATGTCGCGGCCTTGTTTAAATCTACACCGGCAAGCTACGCGGGTGGTCGCGCGCGTCTGTGCTCATAGGTCGCGCTTGTTTATGCTCAAGGCAGGACTTATCTGATGGCGGACTTATCTGCGAGAGGCGCGAGGGGCGATTTTTCATCGATTTTTCGTGTCAAAAAGGCGGACTTATCTGCGGGATTTTAGGGGGGGGGGAGAGTGTAGTTCAATGGACGGGTTCAGGCAGGTTCGGGCAGATCCGAACAGATCATGGGTTACTGGTACCGGCGCGGTTTGAGGGATGCTTAAGAGGAAAGCGCACACTTTCAACTTTTGCAATCAATAGGTGAAGCATGTATAATGTATTCTGTCTTTTGAATACCACGGTTTTCATGTTCAAGGCTGAGCACGAGAGACTCTCTAGCTATAATATTTTTCTTTCGCAGAAACGTTTTTGACCTTTGAACAAATTTTCATCAAATAGAGTTGTGTTAGATTGTTCAGGACTCTCTTTCTGGGTAGGAGTTGATCGCAGCATGCGCTTCACCTGACCCGCAAGTTCGGTTCTTGACTATCTTACTATCGCACACGGTAATTCAGACAATCGCCCGGATGAGCAGCACCGGAAAATGCGCGTTACTGTCTTAGCTGCGCCTAGGTTGCCCGTATGCCCGCATGCTCAGCACGGGATGGGCACACACGCCGCGGTACCGGTGTAGGGGGGTTGAGGACAATAGGTCGCCAATAGGCACCCCACACGAACAGATATGTAGGCGTCAGACTAAGCGGCTGTCATGTTCAGCTGCAGAAGGCGCGCAGAATTAACATTAATTTTGCGCGGTCCTGCAGCTGAAGCAGACAATCCTGTGCAGATTTAACGTCAAATCTGTACCCAATTAATGTTAATTCTGCACGCCTACTGCAGCTGAACCAAACAGTCGCTTTGTCTGGCGCCTACCATAGCAAAGGCAGTAACGGTGAAGGATCGCGGTGTGTTGCAAATGTCCGCATAGAACCTCTCTTTTCGGCGCACTAGTGTCCTCTACCCGTGTATAGGCAATTCTGTACGCAGTCTTAAAAGGAGATGAAAAGTCTGTCCGAATATTTTCCTCTTACCAGCACTTATCCGTACTGCTGCCAATAATGTAGCTTGGGGAGTGGGAAAATGCCAAAAATAGCCTTTTTGAAGCTCTCAATCTGAAATTTGGACCTGTGTAAAAATGGACAATACATCATGATTTATTCCACCAGTAAATTCTATTGTATGACGGCTATAGGTCCGAACCGTGTCCTCAACTCCCACAATTTGTCCAGGTCGACGAAGTGATTACGCTCTTTCTGCTTAACCATCAAATCTGATCCTAGCACATTAATCACTGGAACAGACTCTGAAACAACCTTGGTTAGAAACTCTTCGTCCAGAAAACTTGAATTTCGCAAAAATAACTCAATATCATTTCTTTCTTTATTGCCAAGTTTTCATTTTGATGAGTTTTGCTTACCTCTGCCTAATACGTTTGCTAGAAAGCGTCGTGACGTAGAGAAATTGTGCTCGCGGTAATCTGACTACATTTATAAACAAGTTCGGCATACTGAGTCAAAATATTTTTCAAACCGTTTTTTAAGCACTGAACCTCGGCTATTTTTCCTCTAAGCTGCTAATTTTATTTTTGCACCATTCCACTTCATTAGTGCTTCTCGAAAGCAGCGTCACATTATGATAATGCACAAAGATCTGTTCAAGATTTGTGGTTGAACTAGACCCACAATATTGGGATTAATTCTTACTGTCGAGTCAGGAATGGTGCTAGCTTTGTGTGCAGCATAACTCCTTACGTAACTCAGAGTGAAAGTCCTGAATTGCTAGCTGCACCGATGCTGTGATATCAACGCGATTATTTGAACGCATATTGTGCTAGCACAATCTTTGCAGTTTTCAGAAAGCATGCTGGCCGAAGAAGAATAATTTTGTTGCTTTGTTCACATAAATTCTGCAAACATTTCATGTGTTCACGATCTAACCACAGGTACCCCACTCTTCTGAGGCCATTGATATCTTGAGGTAAATCCTACTTCCAGTAGATCTATCACTCATTATCATATAGTTTTATCACTGATAATGAGTGATAAAACTACCTGGAAGTAGGATTTACCTCAAGGTATCAATAACGAATGCGCCTCTGGTGTTCCAATCATCATAAGTTTTGCTAGGGGGGAGGGGTTGCTGCAAGCAACGTCTTCTGCTTAAGGCCCCGGGCACTTCACTTCACGCGATTTGATCGTCGCGACTGAATCGCGACGAGACAACTGTTACAACATCATTCCATGCCGATCAACTTGCATTCGGTTGTGATACTTTTCCAGCCTGATATTTTTGAATGTGAAATGAAAATGAATGGAAATCTTGGCGATTAGATCGCGACAATTAAGTCGCGTGAAGTCTGACCAGGGCCTAATGCGGAGTGTTACAATGGAAAACTTACACGTTTCATTTGTTCTTTTGCAGTCTGGTCTGTTAGGCACACTTATATTTACATGATGGATGTAATCCTTCAAGCTAGAGCGGTATATTTCTCACCTAAATTCTTTTTTCTTCTGCAAGGAAGTTTTATGCTCGGATACATAAATGTTACTGATGTTGCTCCAACCAGTTCTATTGCAGAGGCAATCTGAACTTCGGAATTGAAAAAAGCTCACCGATTTAGAATTCAAACTCACTCCAACGATAACAACATATAGGCGTAAGTAGAGAGGATCTTGCTGACAGCGCTCGGGCTCGAAGACGTAATCAAGGTTTAAGTAATGGTAGACAATGTCAACTAATGATATGAAACTGTCACTAGTAATCATTGGAAGGAAAACTCTGAAAATTCAAAATGAATCACATTTGAGCAACTTTATCAGGGTTGAGAAAGTTTTGGTTCTCGCATGCAGATTCGCTTTACGGTTTTCAGATCCAGTAATAAGAAAGTTATTCGGAAGATTATATTCATCAATTCACCTGATTGTTCTAATATTTTCGGAAAGTTGATATCTCACGGAAAGCTTCACCCCATAACCTGTGTACCTTTTAATCATAAATCTATTGATTTGGAAAAGGGCCAACAATCCCTAAAATATATGTAATCTGCTAAACTCATCACTGTATAGAGAAAAACCAACATTACCATGATTTGAATGGAGTAGTATGAAAGGAAGAATAATGCAAGCGTTTCATTTTTAAGCACTAAAAACAATACTTTGAGTTGTTTACACGACTTATTTATCTACAGGGCTATTCGAACGCAGTGTCGCTTGCATCAGCATCTTCAATCCCGCGCTGGACTAACATGCTCTCTAATCACTTCCAATCGATTGAGGCTCCGCCTTTCTCACACTCGCCCTGGGAGAGTGATCAGAGAGCATGTTCGCGGAAGAGATGCAGAATCCAGCGCGGGAGTGGAGATGCTGATGCAAGCGACACTGCGTTTGATAAGCCTTGTACTTGCTCAGACAATCGACGGCATACCTCCGGAGCGAAAGTGTGAGGACGCTGGCGTCTGCCCACGGGAGTTTGCCGCTCGCGCGGAGCCCCCCATTTTACCCATTATGGTGCTCCGGGGCTCCTCCAAATCTGGGGCACCTCCGGAGCAGAGACGGTGACGGTGACGTCACCGTAACGCCACAAGGAGGCGGATGGGACTCCTCCCCGGGGCTCGCAAACTCGGAGCAGAGACTGTGACGATGACGTCACCGTGACGCCACAAGAAGGCGAATGGGACTCCTTCCCGGGGCTCGCAAACTCCGAAGGTGCGCCAGATTTGGAGGAGCCCCAGAGCACCAAAATGGGTAAAATGGAAGGGCTCCGGAGCACGAGTGGCAAACCCCTGTTGGGCAGACGCCGGCACCCTTCCAATTTCGCTGCGGAGGTATGCCGTTGTTGTCTGAGTGAGTGTGCGCTTGTGTTTGACGTAGTTTTATTGTTGTGATTTATTTGTCGAAATGCCGTTTGTGATTGCGTATAAAACAATAACAACAATAAGGTGTAGTGTAAGGCAACATAATAACTCTTTCAGAACTAATTGTTCAGTTTTTGTTTTGTTTCGGGCATAAATAAAATTGAAAGTGAAGGGCATGGATTGTGGAAGTAGAGTGTTCTAATGATGAAAAATGCTGTTGTCACTGAGGACGACTCTTTGAAAAACTTCATGAAGCTGTACTACCTGATTGCAGTGAGTTAAACGAATCCATTACTCCATTAGGTTGTAACGATAGTTCCCGGGCACTTTTTTTTGCAAACTGCTGTAACTTCAAGCAGGTTGATATTTTTGAAAGCTGCAAACTTGCAAAGAAAATGTTGTCTACGAGATATGCTCATTTTGTTGGGTCCCCAGTCCTTCACTTCGGGCCACCAGCACGCGCAGTAGGGAAAAAGGTCGACTTGAAGTTCGGCCTGATGAGGAAATTCTCCGGGCCAAAGAAAGCTGCAGAGCTCATATCCAGCGATAGTTATGTACACTCGAGTAGATTTTCCGCTTAATATAGTATGCTTGCACAGAAGGTGAAATGCGGTAAAATTTGCGCATGAATAAATGCTCTGACGTTCGGTGCGTGCGGCGCGCGCGCGCTCCTCGTGCGGCGGTTTGTGGTGCGCGCGGGCCGAACGATGAATGCGCGCGGGCCGGACGATGAATGCGCGCGGCCGGACGATGAATGCGCGCGGGCCGCACGGTATCGAAAGCGCTCCGTCCGCAAGCTACTAAAGAATAAGTCTTTCATAGAGCTTCTTTTTCTTCTTTTGTCGTGCCGTGAGCGTTCTCAACTTCGCAGTCCAAAAAAATCCGAATTTAAAAAATTCGAAAATTTGAATTTGAATTCATAGAATTCAAAAATTCAAATTTAGCACCCATTCGGGACGCTGTCGAGGGATAACCTTCGTAGAAGCAAAAAACCTCTCATGTTCCTCCGATTACTCGAATGCCAAATAATAAGCCAACCCCACAAGTAATGGAGCAGCCTAATCACAGCGTCGTACCCCACGCGGGTACCTATTACGCTTATAGCGTGTGAGAAATGGAGGCGCGTGGGCGGCACGGTGAGAGTAGTGCGCGCGGGCCGTGCGCTAAGGATTCAAGGCGCGCGGGCTGCACGGTACATGAACCCGCCCGTAAATCTAGGCGCGCGCGCCGCACTGCTGGCCATTAACAAGCGCGCGCCGCACGCACCGAATGTCAGAGTAGCCATGCAAGTATTGCCGGCATTTTGCCCGCGCGATTGACCGGCGTCACAGTCGAAGCTATTTGTTCACGCGAAAATTTCACCGCATTTCACCTTCTGTGCAAGCACACTATATTAAGCGGGAAATCTACTCGACTGTAGAACTCTGTCGGGGCTATTCGTAGACTGTGTCATAATTCTACAGACCTGAATGTAGAAATTTTTTTTTAGAAAATTTGAAAAATTGGCCATTATTGCACTGAAAATGCCCTATTCTTAAAAAATAAATGAGTTCGAGCTTGTTGTTTTGGCGTGCCTATTGTGGAATCCGAGGACAGCTGCATTTTTGAAATGGACAGTCTGCTTATCCATACTGACCAACCCTTTGATGGTTTTCTTTGTTCACTATGAAAAAAATGTCAGCAATAAGAAAAATTGGATTTTCGTCGTGGCACAGACTTCCTTGGTTGGAGTATGGATCAGTGCTTGATATCGATAAGAACTGGAAGCGAGTCTGGAAAGCCCAGACTTTTCTAGAGAATCATTCAAAATATCTGTCGTTAAGATTCGACCGAGTGCGAAAAAAATGAGTCTGAAAATGAAGTTTCCAAAAGTGTCCGGGAACTTTCGTTACAACCAGTGCCTTTATACCGCGCCGGCAGCCGCTGCTAGAAGCTCATAACAGCCGCTGGCGATCAATTGATGGCGATCTATGCAATTCGATCTCATATATCATACTTGTGTCCATCAGTGGCGGTCCCAGGATTTCCGTCCGGAGGGAGGATTGGTGGCAAAAGTTTTTTCTCAAATGAAGAATGAAGAATGAACGAGTGAATGTATCATCTTGTTGCCGTAGATTAATTATCCTATTGGTGCTCAATTTCCCTACTGCAATCGTACCATGGTTCGCCGAAGCTTCTTCGCGGTGTGATTTTTTCTGACTTTGGCTGCGTCAAGTTTCTGCAGGCGTGTTATTTATTTATTTTTGTAAGTATGGTTCTGCTTCAAATATTCTCGGCTATCGGTGTTTATCTTGAATATCTCTGTAATGTGTGAGAGTTGAATGCACATCGGCAATATGAGTAAAAAGCGTGAAGCTGGAAAGCGAGGGCGGATGTACTCAAAGTAGCAAGAATTTGATGACTTTGCGCTTCTGTGACAAAGCGGTCAGAAGCGGCTACCGGCTGCTACAAGCTGCTGGCGGCTGCTACGGGCTGCTATCGGCGGCTGCCAGCGGGGTATGAAGGCACCTTATTAGATGCCGATGATTCAATCTACTACTCTCAGTTAGTTATGATTGTGTTCATCTGTTCAAGTGTGGAAGCAACCTATGAAAAGTAAAATCAGTAATCGGTAATCTCAATCGGAACTACTCAAATGTTGCTAGACGCTTTTACCGAATCGACATTTTCATTCGCGCATGTCTTGTGCAAAAGTCGTGAAAGCAACTAGAGTTTGTGTTAGGGGCAGGGAGCAAAGGGTATATATAGTTCAGTATGCCAAGCAGAATTATGAGATATTGACTCTCAGTATACAGGGCGTCTCAAGAGTGTTGTAGTTCAAGTTTGCATCTCTGGAACTTATGGAGCACTAGTGTTTCTATTTTCAAAATCATATCACAGGATGCTGCAGTCATATTTTATCAAAGATATTTTTACAAGTCCAAAATGATCTTCATATGTAATTTAAAGGAATGGAATTATCGGACCATTACCTGGTGAAAAAGCAAAAATCTAGTCTCGCGGGATTCACAATTTATTCTGCTACTAAATAAATTTGAAACATCATGGTGCAATTTTATGTGTACGATATAAAAGAGGCTTTTCACCACTATCACTACGGTTGCAGCATATAAAATTTTATTTCATAGGCTCCCGCCAGAGTGCCGAAGTTATGCCAGCGCTACGCCAGCATTTCGATCGATACACGTGTATTTCGTTGGGGACGTCAGCTAGCCCCGCCCCAACGAAATACACGTGTATCGATCGAAATGTTGGCGTAGCGCTGGCATAACTTCGGCACTCTGGCGGGAGCCATAGAGAAAGGCGAGAAGAAATGTGGGAATTCCGAGCCTCTATAAAATTCTTTTCCAAAATTGTAGAAGTGAAGCATTTGCCGTAGTATGTTGTAATTGGAAGTTTGCTCTATCGTAATGCACATTTTAGAATGAAATTGACGATGGCAGCCTGCTTGCTACAATAGCGGCAGTCGTCAACAGTTCAAAGGCCTTCAGCAACAAAAAAAAATTAGTATCACTGAATTCAACTGCTATTGGTATTCGTCACTATTTGAGTAATGTGTGCACTTAAATTTATATCTCATGTATTTTTCTTCTGTTTTTATCAAAAACATACTAAGCCGACTTTTTGGACACCCTGTACTAAGATAATCTAAAAATTGGCCAACATTCTCCCAAATTTTTTGCAAGCGGACCACAAGGAATCAACGAATTATTTCGCATGGCCGCCTGCCCCCAGCGATTATCTGAGTAGTGGACGGGGCGTTGCAACCATTGCAAGGTAATGTATAAAGTGCGGAAAAAGTATTGTCCCTCAGTTTGCCCGCTAAAAAATCTCAGATGGAGAAAAACTATAGTTTCATGATTTCTACATGTAGGCGAGACTTTGGATATTAGAATATGATAGCTTGACGCGAAACGGTCTCCTTATGGCTACTTAAACGAGTGATAATAGCGAGCAGAATTATCGACGATGCGCCTCAGCGTTTTGCCGTAATTTTGGATCGTAACTATACCACCAAGAGTGATATCAATTTCAAATTCAGGTAGTTTTTAGAGCATTATCTCCTCTCCAAAATTCTATACTTATAATACCGCTCAAGAATGTGCAAAATTTCCCTGAATGTCGCGGAATTCCGGGAATTCCGTAGAAATCAGCGACATTCCCGGAATTCGCGATGTTCCGGGAATTTTGCCGAATCACGCGAATCACGCAAACTATGCAGCGCCATAGCT